CTGTTTGTCTGTGATTTAAACAGCCCAGCGCTGCTCCCAACGCAGGGAAAACCAATCCTGCAGGGAGACCTACCTCGGCACTTGTGCAGGTGAAACCAAAGGGAAGGTTTGCTTCACCATATTTTTTTTTCTTTCCTTTTCATACCCCCCCCACAATGGCTCTGCGCCCCACCTAGGGGGCGGCCCCCACACTTTGGGAAGGTCTGCTTTAAGGGAAGAAGTAGAATATTGTTACTGCACTTTAATTACTTCATTTCAATCTTTAAGTTTCCAAAATTTTGAGTTTGACTCTAACTTTGATCAAACATGCGTAACTTCTTCAGCTGTTGAGGTGGAAGGTTAGCTGACAGAGTTCAGTTACGTTCACTTTAAATGTACAGAATTAGACTCGTCTATATGCACTAGTGTTTGATTCAGATTCAGACTCCACACTTTATTTAGTTATGGTGATTTATTGTTAAAAAAATGGAATCACAAAGTTTTTCCTGCCAGAGTGGGGCAACTACACTGGGAAAGGCAACTGATTGGGTTCCTTTGTTTTACAAGCATTCAAAGGAAGCAGGTCAGAGGTTACATCAATAAGATGACTCATGTACAGTCATATTGTGTCATATAAGGTCTGTTCTGTAAGTCTGCCTCGTCCTTCTCTTTCCGTCTGTTTCTCAGTCATTTTCTCATCATGCAGGATCTAAGGACCAGTTTGGACCTCCATCCTGGTGGTGTGAAATGTTCTTCTTCAAAGATGGTTGGATGGTTATCCTCTCTGGTTCCTGTAAGCACAGAGGAAAAGTAAACTCTCACGAATAACAGTTCACCTGCGCTCATGACCAGCACCTACCTGCATCTCGCCTACCTGACCATTCTCCACTGCCCTTCTTCTCACTTCCTGTTGATTATCTTGGCCTGCCTGCTACCCCACCATCACCACCTTAAAGAAACAAACTATATTTCCATTTAGGCTCTTGTAAAATAATCTATAGACTTGCTATACTCACCAGACCTAAAGGTCTCTTTCTGTGAATTTCAACGGTCCCTGGAGTCAAATCAGGATTGAAATCAGGATGCTGTGCTGTGTCTCTTTCTTAGACAAGTCTCTGGTAATACCTTGGGTTAGGGATGCACCGATACCGGTATCGGGTATCGGCCTCGATACCACATTTAAAAGTCATCTAAAGTACTCGTACTCGTTAAAAGTCCCCCGATACCACGGCATTTTAAACACTCCGCCTTAGCCTACTCCCACCTCGAGGACATTCAGGGACAGCTCAACCAGCCAATAAAGAGACTGCAGCAGGACGTACAGACGCGCTGGAACAGCATGTATTACATGCTCCAGTCCCTCATTGAGCAAAAGCGAGTGCTGGGCGTGTCCGAGCACGAACTCCCTGACTATCTCACCGCTCACCAATGGGCTCTTATGGAGACGACTGTTGCCACGCCCCCTTTGAGGAACTAACTAAAAAAGTGAGCAGCTACGACGCACTAGCCTCTGATGTCATCCCAGCTGTGACTGTTAGTGAGACTTCTAAACAGAGAAACAGACGAGTAAATACCTCTCAGCCCCATGTAGCAGTGTGGAAAGTGAAAGGCTTTTTAGCTCAGTGTCACACATTATAGATGAAAACAGAAACAGTCTGACTGCTGATAATGCAGAAAAGCTACTTTTCTTAAAAAAAACCTGCCACTCACTTTTCTCTCCATTAAGTGAGTCATCTTAGACTTGATGTTAATACCTACCTCAGTTGCACTGACTGCCACAGTTCTATGTTGGTGGATGTTGTTAGTTTATTCAAATATTGTGCACTAAATAGCAAAGATGTTTATTAATGCCCCTTGTGTTGTCCAAAGCAGCAGAGTTTACAATAAACTGAAAACAATACTTGAGTTGCACTGTCACTGTTTATTTTTTTTTCATAATTATTTATTCTGTAATATGTTGCATACAACATGCTTTTCATTTTAAATAAATGTTCTTAATTCCAAAACAGTCCCTTGTTTTTTTGGGGTTTTTTTGTTAAATTATAGGACTAAAGCTGTTACCTGTAAATTTAAATCATGTTTTTATTAAGTACTGGGTATCGGTATCGGCGAGTACTGAAATGCAAGTACTCGTGCTCGTACTCGTTTCCAAAAAAGTGGTATCGGTGCATCCCTACCTTGGGTCTTTTGTCCCTTCAGTTTAGTGTAATACTTGGTCTGTAGAAGGACTGTATGTACTATATGCTCAAAAGCCTAGCAGCCGTTGTTTATGTTTTTTTTGTTTTGTTT